CCCAAGGAAAAACAACAAAGCCCCAAGAACTGCAACAAATGTCTGCGCCCTCATAGGCGAGCCTGCTGCTGTTGCTGCTGCTGCAGGGCGTAAATCTCCTGCTGCCGCAGCAGCTGAGAACGGGAGTACACGGGGAGCTGGCCCGGGTGCTGCATGTGGGAGGTGGGGCCCCGGCTCCCGTACATGGGGGGCCACAGTGAGGCCTGGTCCATGACGTCAGCTGTAGGCAGGGCCAGAGGGCAGTCAGCCCCAGCCGGGCAGGGGGGCCCTACCCCGCTCTTCCCCTCCCTCTCAGTCCTCCCAGCCCACCCAGTCCCCAGATGATCCACCTCAAAGTCCCACCTGGGTCTTGCCAGGCACCTGCCTCACCCTCTCCCGCTCCCCAGAGACTGTCCCCGACCAGGCCCTCTGCCAACAGCCCCAGGTGCAAACAGCCAGGCCCCAGGCCCTTACCAAGCGCGTGAGGGGTGGCGTGGGGCGTGGGCTCCGAGGGCAGGATGAGGAGCTGTGTGGGGGCATCCTGGGGGAGGGGGAACACGGAGGGCACCGAGCCGGGCACAGAGGTGGGGAAGCCAGGGGGCAGGTTCTGGTGCAGGGCAGGGTGCCCGAGGCCTGGGGAGCAGAGGTCATGGGATGAGTGGGGGCCCCTGTCACTCTCAGACATCCCTCCTTTGGAGGTCCAGCCCCAGGCCAGCCCCCACTTGCCCTCAGAGCACTGACCATAGGAATGTCCCCCCATCCATAAAGAGGGGCTGCGGGTGCGGGGCAGCCAGGGGGGGTGGGCGGGGTGGGGATGGGGGGCTGGGTCCCCACCCAGCTGGCCACCCTGCATCACGAGGTGGGAGGCCAGTTCTCCAGGGCAGCCGCTTGAGGGGTGAATCCGGGCAAATTCCACGAGGTCTTTGTTGTCCCTGTAAGATCACCAGAATCAGCCCTGTCACCTGGCTGACCCTGCCCTGCTCCCCGACCCCGTGGCCATCAACCTGGAAGGGAGCTGGAGGTTGGAGGTGACAGGTGGCCCCCGGTCCTGGGCCTGGTGCCGGAGGCCTCCATTCCCAGCAGCGGCCCTGTTGGCAGCGGGAGTGAGCAGAGCCCTCCAGGAAAGGCTCTGGTGGGTGTGGGACCCTGCCCAGGACAAGGCCACTGTCGACGTCCTGGCCACCATGCCCCTTCTCCCTCGAGGGCTCTGGGCGGGCAGGCCCACCTGGGAGGCACCCCACCCCGGCCAGGAGCACAGCCCGACTCTTACTGTAGCAGCAGCTCGCGGCCAGCCAGCCCCAGGCGGTCATCACACAGCCGCGTCCTCTCCTCCTCACCCTCCAGGTCCAGGGCGTGTGTGGCACGGGGGCCCCCTCCAGCTGCACAGGGTCGGGAGGGCAGAAGGGTGAGAGGGGGCACCACTGCCGGCAGAGGCAGGCACCACCCTGTGTTGAGCTGGGAGCTGAGGCGCCAAGGGGGGCTCCCTGGCTCCGGGGGCTGTGGAGGACCTTCCAGGGGAGGGCGTGGGGGGCCAACCGGACGCCCAGGCAGAGGCAGGGCCAGCTGGTCTTGGACACCCTGGGTGCTGGGCCGGTTGTCTCCCGGCCTGTGAAGGGCCATACCTTTGAAGGCGGGGGCGGCCCGGCCCTGCCGCCCGCTGTTGGTGTTGTAGGTGGTCTCCGGCCGACTCACTGTGTCCTTCTGTCGGGCCAAGGCCACCGCGATGCCCACAGGCGGCTGCCGCACCTCCCCGTCTACCTGCGCGGCCTCGTGTTCCCGGCTCCGGGCACAGTCGGGCCTGTCCACTGCGCCTGGGCCCTTGGAGGCGGGGAACTTTGTCTCCTGCTGGACACAGCTGGCCTTGAGGCCACCCAGACCCACGAAGGGCGCCTTCTGGCCCACAGCCAGCGCGTGGCTGCTGTACTTGAGCAGGTTCTTCATGGCCGAGACCTCGTCGGGCGGGGCAGGCAGCTCCTGAGACAGGAGGGCCGCCTGCTGCAGGCCACTGCCGAAGGGGTCCAGGTAGGCACTGCCCTGGCGCTCTTCACTGATGGGCATGGTGGTGCCCTGACCGGCCTGGACACTCCATGGGGGCAGGTGGGGACCGCCGTAGCCCAGAGAGGCCAGTTCCAGGGACTTGCGCTTGACCTCAGGCCCGCTGCCCCCCTGCTCCACCTCAGGGGTGGCCAAGTGCTGCTGATGCCGGATCCGGGCCACCTTCTGGGCCCCCGGGGGTGCTGCGGGGGCCTCCTTGTTGGCAGCTTTGTCTAAAGTGCAGCAGGCCTGGGCGGCCTTCCCACCCAGCAGGTCCTGATTACCGGGCCGGGCACAGTCCTGCGAGGGGGCGGGCAACTCAAAGTAGCCGCTCTTGTCCAGACCACCCTTGGGGAGTCCAGGGAAGGAGGCCTCGGGGCGGCTGCTGAGGTACTCCAGGCCCTTTAGCCGGGGGTTGAGGGCCGCCTCGAAGCCCCCAGGCCGCCGCTCGCCCTTGCCCTCGGCCTTCAGGTGAGTGTAGGAGACTCCGTAGGGCGCAGTGTGGTCGGGGACCAGGGCCCCATCCAGGTGCCGGTCCTTGCCCTCACCTGCCACAGCACAGGCCTCGGCCGCCTGGAAGGGGCGGCTCTTGTCGGCCAGGTGTCCCACAGAAGGCACGAAGGTGGGCCCGCTGGCCTTTAGGTCCCGGGAGACTTTGTCCTGCAGCGGGCAGAGCCCGTCGGGGCCCGTGTGCAGCTGCAGGCAGGGGAAGGACCCAGCAGCTGTGCTGAGGGGTGGGGGGGGCCCGGTAGGTAGGCCAGAGGGCACCGTGTAGGACACCGCGTGGTGCAGCATCTGTCGCCGCTCCAGGCACTCGCTGAAGGCCGGCCCGGGCTCCGGGGGGCCCACCACCTCCTTGGCCCGTCCCGAAGCTGTCACCCCTGCACCGGGCCGGCCTAGCATGCCCCCAGCGCAGCTGGCCAGTGCGGCCTTGCCCATGTCACCATTGAGCACCTTGGTGTTGAGGAGGCAGGAGGTGAGGTGCTTGGGGCGGCCCTCACAGGAGCCCCGGGGCCCAGGGCCGCCCTCCTTGCAGGGCCCGTCCACCGGCATGGGGGGCACCAGCTTGTGCCTCTCTTTGCCGCCATCCTCCTCCACTGGCCGCTCCCTGCCCTCCACTGCCTTGCTGGCCTTCTCTTTGCCCAGCTCTTTCGACGTGAGGAAGCGGTCAAACTCCCTGGGGCCCTTCGACGGGGGGCCGGCCTCGCCCCGCTCTCGGCTACAGGGGTGGGCAGGAGCAGCGCGGGCCACGGGGAAGCTGTGGTTGGAGGGCAGGAGCGTGGGCTGGGGGGGCAAGTTGCGCAGGTAGAAGTTATCTGCGAGCAGAAGGAGCTGAGGTCAGTGGTGTAGGGACCCAGACTCCCCAAGACGTCGGCTGCAGGAGTCCCTTGGTCCCCCTTGGCACCCATCAAGGTCACCCTGCAGGAAGGTTTCTGCCTCCACTTTTTAAAAACTCGTGGTGAAAATAAATAATGAGATTCGCCTTCAAAGTGTACAGTTCAGTGGCCTAAGCACATTCAGAGCTGCCCAGCCGTCTCCACCAGCCACCTCCACAGTCTCTCCTCAAACCGAAGCCCTCTCCCCACGAGGCACAACTCCTGGCTCTGCCCACTCAGGCCCAGCACCCTAGAGCTGCCCCGGCAGGGCCCCCCCCTGACTCCTGTCTGCCCGACCCTGTGCCCTGGAGACTTTCAGAGTGGGGGTGGGTGGAAGGAGGGTGAGTCTCCAGGACAGTGAGTGGCCCTGGGGAGCTCAACGCAGGGTGAGCTTGGGGCAGGCGAGGTGTACCTGTGAGGTGAGCCACCACAGAGCCAGCTGGCCAGGCACCGGGTGAGAGGGTGGCCTTGCAGCCCAGGGTCTAGTACTGTGGGTGGCCCCGGGTGTGAGCCTGCCTGCAGCCCCCAAGTGTCCCCAGGTGCCGTGTGTCCTGGGAGGAGCAAGGCTGAGGGTGTGAGAAGGCAGGATGGGCTGGGTGGGGGAGCCGCCTGGCCCCTGGACAGCTCGCTGCATCCCTGGGGCTGGTGGACACGGGTGAGGAGGGCTGAAGGAAGGAAAGTGGCCCCCCCATCCACACACCCCCAGCTTGGGGCCCAGCCAGTCTGGCCCTAGTGCCAGGCTCCTCTGTGGTCCATGGACTCGCGGCCCAGCTGGGGCCTCTGGGCCTGGGGCAAACCCTCCGCTCTTGACCAACCCTGGGGCCGTGCCCAGCAACCTGGGCCAGACCTCTGCCTCTGGGGGACCCTGGGGGCTGCCCCTTCCCTGGCCCAGCTGGGTGGGTGGGCGGCAGGGTGAAGCCCTGAGCTGAGGCACAGACGGAACCCGCCAACCCGTCCTCGGTCACTCGAGTCCTGCCAATTTCCTGCTAACTGGAGACAAGGGAAGAGGTAGCCCAGGAGAGACCTGATCAGCTCAGGTTCCAAAGCCAAACACCGTCCTTTGGATGAGGCTCCACCACGACATTTTGAAAGCCCCTAGGGCCAGTGGCTGCCTCCACATCAGCCGGCCCACTGCCCCTGGAGTCCCTGGGCCCTGGCTCAGGGGTGGGGCTTCTGGGGCTGAGTCCAGACACCTGCCTGCCCCTAACAGACTTTTGTCAAAACAGCTGCAGTCCCCCAGAGCTGATAGGAGCACGGGGGAGCTGGCCGGCTCTGCTGCCCACAGAACAGCCCCCTCAGGCGTGGCCAGATCCTCCGGGCCCTAGTCAGTCTGCAGGTGCCCACAGTAGTTTGGACGGAGTCCAGACAAGCAGGACTCTCCCTGAGTCTGGGGTCTGTGGCAGAAGGTACTGAGGGGCAGCAGGAGGCTCTCTGCACCCTGGGTTGACCAGACACCTCCCGGGCCTGCTGGCTTCTCTGCCTCACTGGGCCCCCCAGGGACGTGGTAAACTGTGCCTGTCCTCTGTGGACGGGCTGCCTCACCACTGATGGGCCATGAGTGTCCAGCGACCCAGCACCCAGGCTCTCTAGATCTAAGCTGAAGTCACCCCCCACAGCCTGGGCCAGGAACTGGGGTCATCTGAGACCATCTGCCCTCTCCTGACCCAACCCATTCCTGATGCCACCGACTCCAGCCCTGTGGGACTCCACATCTGCACTCAGGTCCTACCGCATGTAGGTCATTTTAAAGGTGGCCACTAGCCCAACACCTGCCCAGGCTCCAGGGACCACTCTGGTGTGCCCATGGTGCGGGGGGGGGGTCCTAAATGTAAAGGAAATGGCCCTCCAGAAACCTCAACCTGGAGACAGGGGGTGAAGCCTCTGGACCTGCCCTGCCCCCTCTGGCCAGGCCCCCTCTGCTGCAGGCTCCTGATTTGTGGTCCCTGCCTGAGCTGTGCCTGCCCTTTGTCATACCCAGGGCCCACTGGCTCCGTCTTGCCAGCAAAGACCCAAACTCAGCAGCCCTCTTTGGTGGCATCTGCTGCCACAGGGTAGGCAGCCCATCTTCTGTCCACAGGCCAGGGCTCTGCTCTGACCTTACCCAGTGGCCACTGTCAGCAGCCCTGCTCTGGCCTAGGCCTTGCAAGTGTGTGGGGCAATGTGGGCTTCTATGGGCTCCCCTGTCCCTCACTGAGGACATCCTCCTCTGGGCTACCTTGGGTCCCCACAGCTGGCGGAGAGTGCAGGGCACAGCCAGGTAGGCAGGAGGTGGCAGCCAGGCCCCACAGTTGCTTCCCGGGAGCTGAGCTGAGCCTGCTGACTCTCCCCGTGCGCCCCAGCCTGGGAACCCCACCTGCCCCTGGTGGTGGTCCTAGACCCAGGGTTTACACCCTCCAGGGGCCCGGCTAGGCTGGATGCCTCCTGAGGGCACCCCTGGGCTGGCTGCCCTGGCGTGTGCCTGGAAGCTTGCCACCCCCCACCCCTTGGGATGCCCTGCACCCCATGCTAGGCCCCCCGTGCCACTTGCCTTTTTGGGTTCCATAGAAACGATGCTGCCCGTAGAGAACATTGCTGTTTCCATGGTGATCCAAGTGGCTCACGGGTAGGAAGGTGGATGCCAGACTCCCCGAAAACCTGGGGTATGCTGGAGCTAGAGAGGCAAAGGCCCTGGCTGGAGAGGCAGCTCCTGGACCCCTGGCCCACACCGCCCTGACCTCAGAGAGGAGAGATGCCCGTGGGCGACCCAGGAGCCACGCCCTGCCGAGCCCTGCACACAGCTGCCTGTGGGAACCCACCCATCCATACATCTTGTTAGCTCAACTCCACGCTCGCCCGCCCTCCCGCGCACACAAACTGAATTGCTGATGGGCTGGGGAGGGGGAGGCTGGAGAAGGGCGCCTCTGCTTCTCTTCCAGGAGCACTGGGTGCTGCAGGAGCTTCCGGGCAGGGCAACACACTCAGGAGGGGGCCAGATGCCTACAGAGCTCCTGGCCAAGGGAGAGCCAGGGCCAGTCCCGGCAACCTGCCTGCACCATCCACAGGACCGACCAGCAGGTAGTCTGGGGCCCAGCTCTGCTGCGCCAGAGCCCTCTGGGCAACCCACACCGCTGGGTGGTGCACAGGTGTCTCCACAGGAGGGAACTGTCCACCCGGCCCACCTCTTCATGTCCTGCCATCTACAAGGGGAGCTGGTCCCAGTAGCAACAGCACTGACCCCAGAAGAACCCCAGCCCTACCTGGGGACTTTGAGTCACCCCTGGCCTGAGGGGTCCAGCCCACTAGGACACCTGACGTTCTGAAGGATGGCCCCTGCCCAAGCACAGGAAGCTAGCCACAGCTGCAGCCGTCCCACCCTGCTGGCCTTGGGCCTCGGCGGCTCTGTTCACCTGGACACATACTCTACCCTCCCACACAGGTGAGGTCCCAGCCTGCAGGAGAGACCCCAGCCTGCAGGAGAGACAGTACTGAGCAGCGGCCTGGGGTGTCCTCCCCAGGCCCCTTGGAAAGACCCAGAGCTGGAGGCCCAGAGCCACCAGCAGTCATCGGGAATGTCTGCTTATGGCTGGTCCTTCCAGGTCCACAGGGGACACAGGGGACCTGGGCTGGGTGGCATTCATCAGACTCATACCCACCAGGCCCCTGCCCAGCTCTCCCTGCCCACTGCCGTCACCTTGGCAGCCTCTAGGACTGGGGCCTAGGTCTCCTCCAGCCTGGCTCAGGCCCCAGGGCCAGGTGTCCAGCTTCCCCTGACCAGACGCTGATGCTATTTGTTACACGGCGTGTGGGGGTTCCTGAAGCAGACCAGGCTGGGTCTGTCTCCCATGCTGGACTGGATGTCCTCAGGGTGGAGTGTCAGAGGGCTGGCCATGAGGCAGAGGCCCTGGAGCCTGCTGTGAGCCTCAGCTTCTTGGAGGTGGCCCTGCAGGCTGAGGCCAGGGGAGCCCTGGGCAGAGTGTGAGCTGGAGGCTTGGAGCGCCAGCCCCACGCACCCTGCCAGCGGCTCCTCCCACGCACAGAAGAGCTGCCCGGGAGGGAGGGCGGGCTCTGCTCACTCTCAACACTGCACACCTCCCCACGGAGGGCAGGACCCAAGTTCTCGAGAGCTTCCTAGCACTGCCTGGCTTCCCGGGGATTTCCCTGGAGGGGCAGGGAGAGGGGGCTGGACACCTGTTCTAGGTCTGTCACTCAGGATTCTGCCACCCACTAGTTAAAAGGGTGCCCTGAGCCTCATGCCCCAGGGACCCAGGCACCAGGACCCCCTCTGGGTGTGAACTTACTGACAAGTCCTGCAGCAGCGGCTTCACTTGACCTTGCTTTACTTTGTTTCCCGACTTTATTTCTGTCTATTTTTTTCCTGGTACTGGGAACCCAAGGGCCCTCTGCCACTGAACTACCCCAGAACATTTTTAAAAAATATCTATTTTTCAGTTTTTGGTGGACACACGATCTTTATTTTATTCCGAGAATCGAACCCAGTGCCTCATGCATGCTAGGTGAGCACGCTACCACTTGAGCCACATCCCCAGCGTCCCCCCAGCTCATTTAAAAAATATATATTTAAATTTTTGTTTTGGTGCTGGGCATTGAACCCAGGGGCTCTCTACCACGAAGTTACACCCCCATGGCTTCTTCCACTTTTTGAGACAGGGCCTCACTCAGTGGCTGAGGTTGGCCTTGAACTTGGGATCCTCCTGCCTCCCGGGTTGGTGGGTGCAGGCGTGACCCACGGCCCCTGGCTCCTGATCTTCTATCATAGCGCCCGCTGCTGTTCAGCAGACTCCACAGACTCCACAGAACACTCAGACACGCTGTGTGGGAAGTCAGAGCTGCAGGTCGGCTCTCCAGTCCCATGTCTGTCCCCACGTCCTCAAAAGGCTGGCCATCTGCCCTGCCAGAGGCTGAGCTACCTGGCTGTTGGGGCTGATGGAGGCCAGCAGGGCCTGGACACTCCATCTCAGCACTGGGGAACCTCTGAATGGCTGGCCACCGGGAAGAGGCCAAGAGGCAGCCCTGGGCAGGCTGAGGCCGAGGAGTGGCCAAGCCAGGTGGGTGGGCTCTGGGTGGGACAGGGAGGGTCAGGACCTTGGAGGCAGAGCTGTGGCCTGTTCAGGTGGGACAGGGCACTCCAGGACCCACAGGGGCAAGGCTGCCCTGTCTGTGGCCCCCCACCCCCACGGGCACTGTGCCCGCTGGGCACTGGGCGGTAGCTGGTGGGACCCAGCCCTGGTGATGCCCTGGGCGTTCTCTGACTCTGTGGGTCCAGGTGAACCCTGTCTTGGAGGCTGCTGAGGGAGGTCTGGGAGCACAGGACCTGGGGACCATGCCCCACCCCTGGCCTGGCCCTGCAGCCGCCAGGACTGCTGAGGACAAGCTCAGGCTGAGGGCTGGCCTGCCGGCCTGCTGTGGGGGACACATCTGCAGCAGATGTCTCCCAGATGAAGCTCAGCCCCTGGAAGGCTCGACAGAGCCCAGAACGGGTGGGAGTGGACGAGCAGCAGGCCAGGGCCTGGGGGGCTGGTTAAGCCAGCGCAGCTGTCCCCCCGTCACTGGCTGCTGTTAAATGTTTTACGGGCCTCGTTCTGGTAAACAGAAGTCTGTAAATTCCTCCTTCCCAGACGCAGTTTCCCAGGCGTGGACCTCCCTGTGCCCCCTGGGGGGTCTGGCCGCCCGCTGCTCGGCTCTTGGGGAGTAGCTCTCAGCTGGCCAGGAGCAGGCTCCTTCCTGCCCAGGCCTGTGGGGGCAGTGTGAGGGTGGCTGGCCCCCTGCCCCCCTGCACTCTGGGCCTCAGCTGGAGGTGTCCAGGCCAGGGAGCGGGGGCCTGGCCAGCTCCCAACCTCTAGCCTGCCTCAAGCCCCAACCTCGGAGGACCCAGATGGGAACTGGGGTAAAGGGGAGGAGGAAGGGGTGGCAGGGCAGGAAGGAGAAAAGCTGGGGCTGGGCAGGGAGCCCCGGGGCGGGGGACGAGAGGGACAGGGAGAAGAGGTCTGTCCTGCCCCGTGAGAAAGCCCTTTTCTTTTCCCCAAAACACTGCATATTCTCTGAACTGAGGAAGAAAATAAAAAACGGTTTTTGCGAATCAGAGCAGCTGCTCGGAGACCAGGCGGAAGGCTGGGGTGGCCGGGCAGGGAGACAACTCGGGAGACCGTGCCCCCGGTGGGGTGGCCCAGGAGCAGAGGGCCACACACTCAGGCCCGTGCTCGCGCCTGGGACGGAGCTGCTGGTTGAGGCCCAGGGCTTCCCTCCCCGAGCTGTCCTCCCTTGAGGCTGCAGCCGCTGCCGTCTCCCCAGAGGAATGGTGGCAAGCCTGCCGCCCCCGCCACCTTGGAGTCCCCGGCCATCTTGGGGAAGGAGCCTGGAGGGGCAGTGGAGGTGTCCCCAAGGTCACCTATCCTGACCTGTCTGCTCCTGCACTGCTGCGAGGCCAGAGCCCAGTCCCGGGACACAGAGGCCCAGGGGAGAAGGGGCTGAAGGACAGAAGGGCAGGAGGGCAGCTGGGGAAGGCAGGTGCGGTGGCTTGGGGTCGGGGCCCCTGCTGACCACCCAGAAGGGGCAGGTGGGCCTGGGGGAGCCTGGGCGATGGCCCCTGTTTCTTGTGACTTGGCAGGGTCTTTCTGTCACTCAGGATTCTGCCACCTGCTTCAGTGTCCCACGCTACCTCAGTGCTGGCCCTCTCCCAGCGACCTCCCACCTACTCCAGGTCACGGTGTGCGTCCCTGCAGTCTGTTCCACGACAGGGGTCAGGAGGGGGCGAGGCTGTCCTCAGAGGCAGCACAGCTGACCAGCAGGAGGGCTGGGGCGGCGAGCCTGCAGGCTGCTGGCCATCCACTCGTTGGCGCCTGCAGATGGCCCTGGAGCAGCTCCTCCCCAGGTCCCCCTGCCCAGCTGGTCAGACCCCCAGGAGACGTCAAAGTCCAGCCTCTGGTGTTGGGGGGCCGCCTGAGACCCCTTGGGGTTGGAGCACCTGCTCCTGGGCTGCTGGGGCTGAGAGGAACGGTCAGCGCCAGGGGAAGGAGCCAGGCTGGCATGGTTGGGCACCTCAGGCCCGAGAGCAGCGCAGGCCAGCTGGGTTGGCCGGGCTGGGGTCCGGGGCCACCACTTAGGCTGGGGAGGGAACTGAGAATCCTCAAAGATCAGAGCCAAGAGCAACCCGGGTGAGGGCCCCCAAACTCTGAGCAGCATCCTGGACGGCAGCTCCGCCACCCGCCTTCCACTCCGCCTCACACCTGGGACCTGCTGGCCAGCGCGCACCGTACAGGGGCACTGCTGGGGAGACCCTCCCTCAGACTCCAGGATACCAACCCAGGGAGACACCCCACAAACGACAGCCACCACAAGAGGGAAGGATGGCACTGCCGCGGGCCCTGGCTGCGTGTCCAGCCGTCTGAATGGCTGTTCCGACCCCTGGGTCCACAGAGGGAGACTGAGACTTTGGTCCAATGTGTCCCCGGGCTGTGAAGACCCCTCTCTTAAACATCTGCTCTGCAAGGGGCCCTGAGACCGTGTGGCCGCCCAGGTGTGGGCAGGGGCCATGGGTGGGCTTCCTGGCCCCAGAGCCACCTCCACACAGACCAGAGACGGGGCCAAGACTCGGGCTCTGGGACCAGACACCAGGAGGGGCTGCAGCCACGGCGGGGGTCTGGAGGCGGCTCCCCGTGCCCCTCTACCCTCGCTCTCCCCAGAGCTCCCAGTGGCCACCTTCCCCAACTGGCCAGGCCCTCCCTGTGGGCATGGGCTGGGGTTGGAGGGACAAGGAGGGGCTGGGGCCAGGGGACATTCTCACATGGAGGAAGCCAGCCAGAGAGGAAGGCTGCCCTGGAGAAGGGCCCAGCAGGGGCAGCCACCAGTGTGCCCGTCCAGGGGCGGGTGAGGGGCCACAGGAAACTTGGGCCCACCAAGGTGGGAGGACATGGGTGGACCTCTGTCTCTCTCAAAGACATGCTCTGGAACCCACTCACTCCCCAAGTCCTGGCAAGTCCTGAGGCCTCAGAGGGGACAGAGGGGACAGAGGGACAGCTGGCAGGATGCAGGAGGCTGTGGGATCCGGAACAACGGGGCATGCTCGTGGGCTTCTGCCTGTGGCCCCTGCCTCCGCTGGAACCTGGCCAGGCGCCTGTGGAGAAGGGGCCACTAGGGCAGGGGTGGCTCTGACCAAGAGGCAGACAGCCAGCACTGGCATGTGCCCATGGCCCCCTCCAGGTGGCACGAGAGACCGAGAGTGGCCTGGTGTAGAGCTCCTTGGTTCCTGCCCCCAGCACCCCCAGGAACAGAATCTCCTTTCATCGCCCGTGGGTGGTCCCAGGCAGGCGGCGGGCAGGGCGGGAGGGACTCACTGACAATAGGGCCAGCTGTGCTGCACCCACACCCGCTCTGACCCGCCCAGCACAGGCGGGGGACAGGGCTCGCCCCTGCCTCCGGCCAGTTCCGCTACCCACCCCACCCCGTGCCCAGAGCCGTCCACCTCTGTGAAAACCCTGGTCTTGGGTGATCTGTGGGGCTAGGAGGCCTGGGGGCTGAACCAGCGGGCTCTGCCCCAGGCCAGATGTTCTGGGGCGGCTCCTTCAACCACGGGGTGTCTCCCTGCACCCCCAGCTGTTCCAGGGACACAGGAAGCCCCGGCCCCCGCTCTAGCAGCTGCCCTGCAGATGGCATGGGGGGGGGTCTTCCGGCTGGCTGAGGGCCCCCCCGGCCTACAGTAGGGGGCACCTGAGGCTACCTCCCAGAGTCCCACTTGCCTGGCCCTCCCTGGCCTTCCTGCTCTTGACAGAGACCCCAGGGCCAGAGAGGGCAGGAAGAACTGTTTGCCAGCACCTGCTCCCTGCCTGTCCTGGGGGTCATGGAAGGAAGTGGGGGCCAGGCCAGGCCTCAGAGTAGACCGCCCAGGCAGCCCACTGTGCTGGCCAGGCCCTGCTCTTCGGCAGAGTCGCGTGCCCCCTGCCCGCCTTGCCCCCCGCCCTCCTGAACACACACGGCTGAGAAACAGGCCCCGGCACGCGGGAGCCAGCTGGCACCCAGTCAAACTAGCAGCCAGGCGTGCCGCCAGGGCAGCCAGCCAGACTGCCCCTCGCTGGCCCCGCCCGCCGGCCTCGGCCTCCCAGAGCAGCTCACAGCCGCCTGCACCACGTGGCTCTGGGGGAGCAGAGGGCAGGGGAACCCCCACCGGGAGGGGATCCCGGGGCTGGGAGCTTCGCTGAAGGCAGAAGGGGGACATGGAGAGGGCAGACCAAGGCACGGCCTGGAAGGTCTACGTAAGATCCCCGGGTGACCAGGACTCTCTCCTGTCCTGTTCTCAAGTAGAACCCGGCAGGACGACTGCCTACCCCACGCCAGTCTGCAGCACTGCCTGGTGCCCTGGAGCACGGGGGCAGCTCGGGGGCAGCTCGGGGCACACCCTGCTTCTCCTGGTGTGAACCCACCCCAGCTCACCCTGACCATGCTGATGGTGGAGACGGAACCTTAGAGGCAGCGTGGGGGGACCCCTCCGCTGGCAGAGGGGGGCTGCTGGTCTGAGACAGAGCCTTCTTGGTGTGCTGCTGAGGATGGGCCCACGGCGGGGCTGAGTGTGGGGGTTTGCCCGGCAGCCCCAGCCTCAGCCGTTGGCACAGGGGAAGTGAGCGCGGCCGTTGTGGGCGCCATCTGAAGGCTGTACCCACCCCGCTCTGAGCACCTCCAGGGACAGAAGGGGGCTCAGGACAGGTGGTGCTACCCACCAACGGCCTCCCTGCTGGTAGGGTTCCCAGGGGTGGGATGGAGAGGAAGCGGAGCACCTGCCCCGAGTGCAGGGCCTGGGTGGGCTGCCCCACTCCTGGGCCAGGGGATGCTGTTGGTGTGGGGAGGGGAAACACTGGACAGGGAGTGCCCACGTGCCTCAGTGGCCCTGGTTCTGTTGAGGGGTCCCTGCCTGCTCCCTCTCTCACCCTTTTCCCTCCCACAGACATCCTGGGAGGTGGATGCTGTGGCCAGGAGGTGCCCAGCAGACAAAAAAGCCTGGAAGGCGAGGGGTGGGTGGGGTGGGGGGCTGGGATGAATGATGCCTGCAGCGCCTGGGCCTCCGCCTGGCCAGGGAGTCTGCTGGGATAGCCAGGGCTGGAAGCAGGAGTGCCGGTGAGGTTTGGCCAAGGACATGATTGTGCCCACTTGGTCCTCAGGACCCCTCTGGCCTCTCCTCCACCCGAGAAGGGAGCTGCTCCTTATCGCCTGCCCAACATGTGCACTCCGAGCGGCGCCTAAAGCCCAGATTATTTTAACAACTGTCCCTCACTCGTCACCTGTCCTGTTTGGAAAACAGCCCCTTTCTTGTCGCACAAAGAGAGGTCTCTCTGGCTTCCAGCAGTGCCGGGCGCTAATCTCCCTGCCTGGAACACAGGCGGGCGGCGGCGCGATGTGTGGGTCCGCAGCGCTCTGTAAACACGAGGCCCGAGCGCAGCAGTCATTGAGTTACGGCAGTGCCCGTGCCAGGAGCAAGAGCCCTGCGTGCCCGCTGCCAACTGCAATTACCTCCCGCGTGCCAGCCAGGGGGCTTAACCCTTCCCATGCTGCGGCGGAAGGCACGGCTGAGTGGACACCAAGTGCTCCTGGGTGGGGGACGGTGGGGCCCGGGCCACTGCACAACAAGGTGTGAGGCAGACCCTGGGGAGCGAGGTCAGGCACACCCCACCTGGGAAAGGCCTCAGGAGCCCCGGGGTCCTCCCAGGCCTCCAGGGGCCCTCCCGCCAGCAGAGTGAGAGCCACAGGTACTCACCAGGCACCGACTGCAGGCCCAGAGCCGGGAGGCTGCGGCCTGGAAGGGGCTCTGTCCTCAGCAGGGCCCCGGGTGGCAGCCTGTGCCTGCTGACAACTCTCTCCTCCCTGCCCCTCCCTCCCAGCTGGCACATCTGGAGCCCACACCTCCGCAAGTCTGAGGAGTGGGTGTAGCCACGGCGGAGGGCACAGCCCGGTCCAGCCGCCCAGCTGCCGTGCACATTTCCTCAGCTCTGGAGCCTCCCTGGCCAGCCCCCACCTCTCCCTCTCTGCCCATCTGGAACACACATCTGGCCAGGACCGGTGCCTAGCAGGGCCACCCCCCTTTCCAACCAATTACCACCTCCCCAAGGGGCTTCCTTGGCGGGAGGCAGCCTCCACCAGCCGGGCTCCCGGGTGCTGCTGGGGCCCAGGACTTACCCTCATGGGAGTGAGAGAACCAGACCTGGGCCGGGGCGGGGTGGGAGCCTCGGTAGGCCTGCTCGGAGGGGGCGGAGGGGGCGCCGCCAGGGTGCGCGGCAGCTGCGGAGCCCAGGCTGCTGGTGAGGAAGCTGCCCATGAAAGAGGAGGCCGGAGAATGCCCCATCAGACGGCTGCTGGCTGTGGACACAGAGGCAGAGTGAGTCTGGGCAGTGGTTCCAGGTGCGCTCTGGGCAGGGCAGGGCAGGGCAGCACCACCCAGGACCCTCCTCCACGGGCCCTCCTCAGGCCCCAAGACCCCCCGGGCTTGTCTTCTATATCCAAATCAGAGGAGGAACGCCCCTCAAGGGCCCCGACATCTCCTGGGTTCCTCAGCCTCCCTGTCCTCGGGGGCCCTAGGACTGACACCCTCCTGGGACTGGAAAGCCTTTGCTGCTGATCCCAGCACCACCGGTGTCACCAACAAGAACCCCTGCACCACCAACCACCACCACCACCACTCTACCTGCACACCACCACCACCATAAACAACCACACCACCACCACCGTCACCACCAACCACGCCACTTCCACCAACACCACCAACACCACCACCTCCACCACTCTACCTGCACACCACCACCACCATAAACAACCACACCACCACCAACCACGCCACCTCCACCACCACCACTTCTACCTCCACACCACCACCACCATAAACAACCACACCACCACCAACCACGCCATCTCCACCACCGTCACCACCAACCACGCCACCTCCACCACCGTCACCACCAACCACGTCACCTCCACCACCAACACCAACACCACCACCTCCACCACTGTCACCACTACCACCTCCACACCACCACCCATACCACCTCCACCACCAACCACACCACCTCCACCACTGTCACCACTACCACCACTACCACCTCCACCAGTGTCACCACTACCACCTCCACCAGTGTCACCAACAAGAACCCCTGCACCACCAACCACCACCACCACCACTTCTCCCTCCACACCACCACCACCATAAACAACCACACCACCACCAATCACACCACCACCACCACCACCACTTCTACCTCCACACCACCACCACCATAAACAACCACACTATTTCCACCAGTGTCACCAACAAGAACCCCTGCACCACCAACCACCACCACCACTCTACCTCCACACCACCACTCATACCACCTCCACCACCACCACCAA